CCCACAGACGGACCCCGCCATTACCAGGACACCCAACAGGCGAAGGCCTCTCTACGTCCTTTAATTTGAATTTGAGCATAATTATAAATGGAACAGAAAGTGGAGAAGGTGTCAGAGAAAATGGTTTGAGATGGCGGAGTGCTCCAAAAGAGCAAGTCGGTGGACGTAGGACGAAAAAGAAGAATCGATATACTGGATGAATGATGGGATAATTGGAAGTACGACAATCAGTGAGTAAAATAGCAAGAGGCAGCCAGCAGATTGTTAGATGGGAATGGACAGAAGTGGGGGTCACTCAGAAAGCAGCACAGTCATTGGAAAATTTTATTGTATCTTGCTTCTGGTTTTTTCAGTTATACTCCGAATAAATTCTCCACTGGATGTCGTGCCAGTTTAACGGAAGACGCCCTTTTTTTCTTACAGCAGCAGATCTCTGGAAAAGAAGACAGAAACGCAAAACAGTCTAGGTTTTAACCTAGCTGATGAGGAATTGGGAGAGAAGGAAGCATGCAAGTTATCGTGCAATTTTACCTTAGAAGTTCCGGACAGTCAAGTAGACAACTACTAGCTGGTATCTATAAAAGAGTCACGAAATATTGCCACTAGACACAGTATGCAATGGCAAAAAATGGCGAACTGAATAAATTCGATTTCTCACTACGGCATAAAAACAGATTGGGCATGTAAAAAGATGTATTCACCAGAAGAATGTTCATTCCACTGATCAGCCATGTAGGTTGACCAGTGTACTGGATCTAGAATGCGTGTAACGTTGAACACTGCTGCCTTGTCAAAATGTGCCACCGGAGTGGGTGGGATAAAAAGAATTCCGATAGAGAATAACGATAGAGCTGAGATGTTCAGTATCATGGGTGACAAACCTGGTATAGGTTTTCACCAGAAGAATATCTACTCCACTAATCAGCTATGTAGGTTGACCAGTGTATTGCACCCAGAATCTGTACTGATAAGAATTTTCTTAGAAAGTGAACACAGCTGCGTGGTTAGCATGTGCAACGTAGTTGAATCAGGTTGTGCCGGTGGAAACCATATTAGAAATAGTTGGATTATGGAAGAAGGAGTCACATGACGTCTAGTTGTATGTACCCGAATTAATCATGTTCAGATCCAGCTTTGAAGCAAACAAATCAATGACAGGTACTAGTATGACCTCAGATAGCGACTGGACAATAGCTGGGTGGATCTCATCTGGGTCCACCACCTTATGCTTGCCCAGGATTTTTAGCTCGGTTCGTACCTTCTCCTCACTCGCGAGTAACATCTGCAGTTTGCTTCCCATGTTATCTGCCAGAGGGTTCCGGGCTTCATCACCCCGGGATGAACGATAGACCCTTTTGAAGTAGTCCATCAACGTCTCAGCTCGGTGCTTGTCCGTAATGGCTATTTTACCGTTAGCCATCTCCAATGTTCCAACACTTTCACGTGTGGTTCCCTTGGACTGTGAATCGGCAGAAAACCTCTTTTTCGTTTTGATGTCAGGCCAGGTCAGGTTGCACAGGACGGTAGAGGTTTTCACCTATCGAGCGTCCAGATTCTTGCTCCAGTCGGAAACATGTCTTCTGGAGCTTCGACTTCTTGTCGACTGTTTGACCATAGCCGATTTCTTCGTTTCAAACTGTCTCTCTTGGCGCGTCCGTACCTGCAAATGGAGGTTATTTGAAAAAGGGCAGCATAGACACCTAC